CCAGAGCCCAGCAGGTCGAGGCTGCGGTGACCGGGAGTGGCCACTGCACTTCAGTCTGGGTGACAGAGTGAGACTCCAACTCAAAAAAAAATAAAGAACCATGTGTCCTTGGGTAAGTCCATTTCACCCCCCCACCTGCCCTCTATTTACTCTAAAATAAATTAGAGTTCACATTCTGCCCACGTCAGGGGGCTTATGTGATGTTCAAGAGAAATAAGCAAGTTATCAGTAGGATAGCAAACACAGAGCACTGCGGGGCACCAGACCTTCTCATAGCACTTTATGCATATTAACTCCTTTTTTTTTTTTTGAGTTGGAGTCTCATTCTGTTGCCCAGGCTGGAGTGCAGTGGCACACTCATAGCCACCACAGCCTTGACCGGCTCGGCTCCTTCTGAGGTGATCCTTCTACCTCAGTCATCCAAGTAGCTGGAACTATAGGCACGTGTTACCACGCCCGGCTAATTTTTTAAAAAATTTATTGTAGAGATGAGGTCTCGCCAAGTTGCCCAGGCTGGTCTTGAACCCCTGGGCTCAGGCAATTCTCTAACCTCGGCCTCCCAAAGTGCTGGGATTATAGGCGTGATCCACCACGCCCGGATTTAGTTTTAATTCTCAGGACACACCTGAGAAACAGCTACTATTATTTCTCCCAATTCACACAGGAAGAAATTGAGGATCAGCGAAGTTAAGCAACTTGCCCAAGGTCACACAGGAAGCAGCAAAAATAGGATTTGAACCCAGACAGTTTGGCTCCCGTCTGTGCCCTCAAACACTATGTGATCAACAGACTTGAGAACCCCTTGGGAACTCCAAGGTACTGTTGGAAGAACAATCACACCCCCCTGGGTTGACATCCCCCCCACCCTTGCTTCTGCCTCATCCCAGTGTCTCAGAGACCCCATCCCAGACCCCCCTTCCCACACCCTGCTCAGGCTCTCCTGCATCCCAGCCTCCTTGCTCTCAAGTCTGGCAGGGAGACCCTTACACTCCCTTGCATCTGGCAGCTTCTTTCCACCCCACCCGCCCCCTCTCAAATCTCCAGCCTCCCTGAACTGTGACTAACACCAAAGCCGCCCGCATTCACCCAGCTCCCTTCACCCCTCCACACCACCTCCGACTTTCCCCACCTGGTTGCCCTTGGCAGCCCCAGCCGACAGGATTCCTCATCTCTGGGCAGGAGTCCCCTGACTCACTCAGACAAGGACCACTCCCCCACCCCCTCATCCCCTCCATCCTGGCCTTACCTTTTCCTCCCTCTGTCTGGTGATACCACAATTCCACCACCACCTCATCATCCCAGCCCACTTTCCATTTCCCTGGGTTTTGGAGTCAGATGAGAGAAGGGGGATTAAGAGGTCCGATGCTGAAGCCAGCCTGCCCGGGTTTGAACCCTGCCATTGACGAGCCGTGTGACTTTGGCCACATTACTGAGTTTCCGTTTTCTTATGTGTAAAATGAGATAATACTAGTACCAGCCTCACAGGGTTGCTGTGCCGTTCAAAATGTGTTAATATGTATAAAAATACCTAGAATAATGTTGGTCATTATTATCGTGATTCTTCTCATGCCTGAGCGTATACTCAGTAAAAGTTTAACAAAGAAATAAGTCTTCACAACTCCCTCCCTCAGCCATCAACTCCTCTTTTCTTCCCCTTTGCCAACTTGTCTGTTCCCAGAGACAGCAGCCGCTCACCTCCAACCCCTTTCCCTGTCTCTCTGTAACCTAGGTTCCTAGCCCCAAATCCAGGGGGTTCTCCAAAGACAGAGTTCTTCATCCCAGTGAAACAACTTCTGTTTCAAAGGCCAGAAAAGCAGAGACCCATGTCAACTTGGCAGACAGGAAACCCAGAATCCAGTCTGATTCCCCACCCACTTGCTTGGTGACCTTGGGCAAGTCCCTTCCCATCTCTGAACCTCAGTTTCCTCATCCATCAAATGGGGTCATAAACCCTGGGGTAAAACCCAACTGGCTCCTGGTAAAGACCCAGTGCATCAGGACACACAGACTGGGCCAGTACTTGTATTAACACCACAGGCCACAAGCACACAGCGGACTGTCACGTCTGCCTCCTCAGGTCCCAGGTCATTTCTCCAAATGCCCCAGCCTCCTCCCTGTTCCGGAAACCATTGTCATCAAGCCCCACTCCCCAACCCCTCCAAATAGCAGCCTCCAGCGCAGCCTTCCCTTGTCTCCCCAAAACAGCTAAGTGCCTGGCTGGACTCCGGGAACCAGGCCTCTACAGGCCTGCAGACCTGGGTCTCACATCAGCTCCCGGCTGCTCAGGGTGCCCCAGTTCCCCCCCGGCCGAGCACAGCCCGTGTCACACAACCCAATTCCATGACTCTGTGTGTGGAACCTCCCCTCCTCCTCTGCATCCCCATCTCCCACCTCCGGGTCACCCGGCCCAGGCCCTGGCTCTCTGGCTGTCTCTTGAGGCCACCTCTTCCCTCCCTGTCTCTGAGAGGTGTCCCCTCCCCATGGGGAGCGACAGGCGTGTGTACACACACACACACACACACACACACACACACACACACACACACTTCATTCACTGCCAGGTGTCGGCTTCTCAGTCCCAACCTGTGTCCTTCCCCTAGCATCCCCCAAATCTGGGTCCTGCCAGACTCAGCCCGGCCGGCAACCGCCCCCATCCTTCTAATTTGGCAAACCCGCCCAGGGGATGACAGTACCCTCCAATCCTCTCCTGACATTCACTCTCCCCCACCCCGGATTAGACCCCAGGGCCTCCTGGGAATGCGGGGTGTCCCGAGGCCCCTGAGACCTCTCCTGCCCCCTTGTGTCTTCACGGCCTCCAGCCCCTTCCAACCCCAGTCCCCAAAATGCAGGTTCACTAGAGACATCAGGTGCCTCGAGATCCTGGGGAGCCGCGCTGCCAACCTCCGGGCTCATGACTCGCCCCCACGTCCCAGCACCTCCCCCACGCCATCCCCACGCGCCCCCCAGGATTAGGGTCCCGCCCCCCCACTTTCCCCACCCCCGAGCTCACACTCCGCAGCTCCTGAGTCCGATCCTTCATCCTGCGACGGCTCCTCCTCCTCCTCCTCGTCCTCCTGCCTCTGCTGGGGCTCCCGGTCTCCCGCCTCGGCGCTGGAGCCCGGGGTCTGGGGG